AAAACCACCAAAACTAAAACCCCAAAGTTTTCCAAACCTTTATAAAAGTTTCGGAAAGTTCAAGCTACTTCAGCTTCCCTTACGCAGTGTGCCAGCTTCTGTTCAGAAGTAGTGCCTGAAAGAGCAGCTAAGCTTCATTCTCTTCTTTCTGATTTTGAGCCACACACTGATGTATGTGCCAAATATTGCAAGAAATCCTTAGGCATAATGTGGGAAAAGCAAAAGCTCTTGCATTCAAGTTGAAGTTGAAAGAGAGGATAATTTTTGGCACTGCCTCAGTTGCTTTGCTGTGCAGTGCTGTGTTCTAACCAGCAGTGCAGCCCAGCAGCAGTTGTAGCTCAGTTGCCTTCAGGTATCAAAGTACTTTTGATTAACTTTTTTTTCCCCTTCTTTCTCTCTCTTTGCAGAATCCCATCAGGAGGAATGGGAGGAGGCATGGGAGGTGGTAGAATTGGAGGTGGTGGTTATTCTGGAGGAGGAAGAGGAGGAGGTGGCAGCATGAGTGGTGGATATGGAAGCAGTGGCAGTGGAATGGGAGGAGGAAGTGGAGGAGGAATGGGAGGAGGAAGTGGAGGAGGAATGGGAGGAGGAATGGGAGGAGGTAGTAGTGGAGGAGGAATGGGAGGAGGAAGTGGAGGAATGGGAGGGGGAAGCGGCGGTGGATGCATTGGAGGAGGAGGAGGAGGAAGAACCTCCGGAGGCATCAGCAGTTCCCACTCCTACTCTTCATCCTCCCAGTCCCAGGCCTGCAGGGGCGGCAGTGAAAGCCAAGGTGAGAACTAWGCTACAGGCACACTGTCCCCTCAGTCACATCCTGACTAATTTATGCACTCATTTATACCAATATACTCTTCCCGAGGCAAACAGTACTGAGGATAAACTAAAACTTCTGGAAGGTGTTAGATTTATTGTTACAAACAATTCTTTCCTCCTCGTGTGCAAAGGATGCATTTCCAGAGCACACAGTGCATTTCTATTCCATTTTGTGGGCGATATCAGCTGATCCTGTAGTTTAACCCCAGCTGGTTTTCTTCATCTGTCTGATTCTTTGCACAATCTCATAAATCCCAYAGCCTTTGTGCTGTGCTGGAGTTTTCCTCAATGCTTTTGGTCACTCCCACATAATCCMAATGTCTGGGGGATACTGGTGGCTCAGAGGTTCAGTGCCAGCATTAAYGAAACTCATTCTTTCTTTGTCTCTAAACAGGATTTGCAAGAAAGTCTTTTGACTAACAATATACATCAAGGATCCTCCAGTGCAAGACCTTCAAAAAGAAACTGGCCCAAATCCGCTGCATTGCCCACACTCCCAAGGAAAGATGATGCTCTGAACAGTTCCTGGGAGTTGCAGATGCCACCTCTCCCCCTGCCCTGCATGCTCTGTGCTGCTTCTGCCCACCACGCTCTGCAGCTTCAGCCATCATCACTGGAACTGCTGCTTTACAGATCCAGCCTGTTAGGTATTCAGGTTGTTCTGAATCAGGAAAATGTCTCTAATAAAATTTAATTTCTGTCTGATGCAACCAGAATTTTGTGTGGCGTTTTTCTTACCTTCTGTAGGTGTAAACACCTAAAAAAGAAAACACTAAGCCATGCCAAGACACGCCTCCAGGTGGAGAGGTTGATGATACACTCCACGAGCTGATAATGAAATTTAGAGTTAAAACACCATTTCTGAGCAATCAGGGCAGATTGGGGGCTGCGCCTTTGTTTTTTAATAATGTGTGAGATATTCTCGTGAGTTGAGCTCTGAGACCCAACAGATGAATATCAGCCCAGAAGTGACTGCAGAATTTCAGCACTCAATGACAACAGCATTGGCAGCATGTGAGTGTCCACAAAGGAACATGAATGATTACAGAGCCATGGTTGTAAAATGAAGGGAATGTTTAAATTCATAAAACCTTGACTGGCACTCATTGGTTTAATCTGGACTTGCAGAGATTAGGGACCTCGTTTTGAAATGATAAGGAAGTGAAATAGAAATATAATTTACAGGAACTATACAAAGTTCATATCCATAAAATGTTAATATTGACAACAATTGCCTTGGATCTGGGAGAAATTAGGAGCCTGTAAAAGGGTCTGGAATGTTTATTTTTGGATGTAGCTACCAGAGGATCCCTGGAAATGGAGGGCCAAAATTCCAGTGAGGCTGCCCAAGGGRAGGGTACATTCACCTGCACATCACCTTGCAGGCTGAGCTGCTGGTGCAGGGCTGTGCACAAAAGAGGAGCCTCTGGGGTTGACTTGAGACTGAAAGAAAATGTGGGTTCATGGAAAAGGAGCAGCATTGCTGAGTAACACAACGGATGCCCCAAAGTATGGACTGAGAGATCAGATACAAAAATTATTTCAGAAATACACGTCACACTGCCATGCAAATTATCTCAACCCCTGGAAACCACTCAGGGTAACARAAACACTTGACTTACACCAAGCCTAAGTGTGATGGCATTGTGCTGTCATGAACGAGCCTTTGCAGGCTTGTTAAAGAGCRCTTGTGCTGCCTAAATGCTGCCAGGGACATGGAACAGGAACAGTGAGATTCTGTAATGCTGATTTCTCCTTCTTTAGTTGAGAAACTTGGACTGCACACACCATCCCGAAAGAGCCATGGTGCAAATGGTAAACAGGCTGAGAATTAAAAGCCATGAATTGTGCCTATGCCAGAGGGACCCTCACCATGTGCTTGGGTGCCTCAGGGGAAAACCATGACCCGAACCCCCTCCCCATCTCTGCAGGGTGCTTTTGGGAGCCTGGCTGCTGATGCCCAGCCCTGCTGTTTTCTGCTGCTTCTTCAGGCTTTTTGCCACATCTTTACTCGACACACAGAGTCCATCCAACCCCCGTATCTCCTGCCATCTTTTGGGTTTTTGCTACCCCGGATTTGTTTGCCTCTGCTGCTCCAGCCTGCTGCTCCGAGGTTCCTGCTGCAATCTGACCACCCGGAGTGGCACTGACACCGACTGCTGCCCGTGAGTTTTGCCAAAGGGAGCCACCTGTCCCCTGTCCTATTGCCACCAACTCGAGTCACCATTGCCACCAACTCGAGTCACCATTGCCACGTGGGGACGCGGCTGAGCCCGGGCCACAGCGCCCCCTGCAGCCGCGGGGGAATCATCACTATATATTTATATATATTCATATATATATATAATGTTTTATATAAAATATATTATTTTTATATATATTCGTCTTTTATATATATTCTAGTAAAGAACTATTATTCCTTTTCCCGTATCTTTGCCTGAAAGTTACAATAATTTCAAAGTTACAATAATTTGGAGAGAAGGGGGTCATATTCCCCATTCCTTGGCAGATACCTGTCCTTTAAACCAAGACAAAGTGCTATACATCATAAAGTGAAGTCCAGAAGGGATTAAAACAGGCAGAATGGAGGCAGCAGTTACTGAGAGATMCAGGTAGAGARAAGGAARGATTACCAGRATCATTTTACATCCATGATGRACAGTATTGGGTTTGTGTGGCAAGGTTTGGGTAGCAGGGGATACAGGGGGATTTCTGTGAAAAGCTGGCAGAAGCTTCCCCTGTGTCGATGGATCCAGGGCTGAGCCCGTCACTGATGGGGGCAGCATCTCAGGGGTAACAAAGAGTGAACAAAACTGTACAACTGCAGCCAGACAGAAGAGGGGGCTTATTTCTTCTCCTGTAATATGGAACTTCTAGAACACTTCTATGTTGAACGCATCCTTCCTTTCTGTGGATAAGCTGACTTTGAGGTGGCAATTCACAGCAGGTCCCACCAGCTCCTTGTGCCTCCTGTGCACAGCCCAGTGACTCTTCCTTAGGAGCTGCACCACTATTTAATGCACAGCTGGAAACACAAGAATTTGTATCTGTTCAATGCTTTTCTCAGTTTCACAGGAACTTGATTAGTAAAGACGGAAAAAGCAGCTCACTGCACATTCCCTATTGCATGGGCAGTGGAAAAAAGTACACAAGTTTTTCAGACTGTTGGGTGATGCAAGACATTCTGTCATGGTTGCAAAACACCCTTCACTGTAACGAGCTCAGGTAATGATTATATTTTTTCAGATCTAATCTTTGGGTCTTTTAATCAGTTATTTTTTCACTCTATTATATAATTCAAGGATATGTTCTGAAAAATGACTATTTAAATAAGGTTATGAAAATAYGCAAAGTAAAATATTTCTCTTCTCCATTTTCTCTGAGTCCATTTGAAACGGTTAAAATAAAATTGAGAGCTCTTTGATAGGAAAMGATTTAATATGTTTTCCTTTGCACACTGTTACTTTTGTGGCTGTTACACATTTTTTCTTTAAAAAAAAGGACTGTGATCCCCATCCTACATGTTCAGAGAAGCTGAATCCCAGCAGGACCTTTTTCAATATAAGCAATGATGACAGAGTGAAAAATTTAGAGTAAAGTTCTCTTCCATAACAGACATGGGAATGCAGTTTTACAAGTTTTTACTTCAGTGCATTAAAGTAGATTTCTAGAACGTTAATGTAAATTTGGAATAAATCAATGAATAAAAAGTCCCCTGGTGTAATGAATCRTGTCTGTGATCACAAGAGGAACCAAAAGCTGAAATGCTGAGTTTTACCAAGACTGAAGAAGACAGACAATGAGGCACAGCCTTCATTAGCTGGCATTACCAGTGAGATATTACCAGATTAACAGAAACTGAGAGATATGACACTATTCAACAAAATACCCAACACGGAGCCACCCACATAAAATTATAGTGCAACTAGGTGTGAATCAACAAAGACATATTTGCACTGAATGGTAATGCCTTTTACCTCAGACAAAATTGCCATTAGCACATCATTTTTGGCATGAGCACCATGGCTGGCAAATCCCATGGGAAGCTGGACTGCCTGGCAGGTGACACCCACCCGGRCAGGTATAAAGAGCCACCGGCGAGGACGGCCCGCTACACTTTGATTTCCTGTATCTYGCTGAGCACTGCTTTGCATCTGGGCTTGGATATCTGAWYCYTTCCACCATGAGCTGCACCATCAAGAGAACATCCAGCACCTCGTACAGGAGTGGAGGAGGAGGTGGTGGAGGTGCCTGTGGTGGCGGCAGCGGCCGCAGCTCCTCCGTGTCCTGCCGGCGCTACGCCTCCTCCGTGATCGGCGGGGGCAGCTACGGGGGTGGCCTGAGCATGGGCAGCCTTGCTGGGGGCTTTGGTGGGGGCTTTGGGGGCTCTATTGCTGGGGGGGATGTGCTTCTGACTGGCAATGAGAAGGTGACCATGCAGAACCTCAAYGACCGCCTGGCTGCTTACCTGGAGAAGGTGCGAAGGCTGGAGGAAGAAAATGCCGAGCTTGAGCACCACATCCGGGAGTGGTACAGGAAACAAGCTCCCAGTGCTTCCAAGGACTACAGCTCCTACTACCAGGCGATTGAACAACTCCAAAATCAGGTAGGATCCCCACAGCACACGTGGTTCCCACCTGTTGTTCTCTCCTCTAAGGCCTTCCTCCTTCCTCTTTGCTCCTTCTCCTCCCTGCTCCCTCCATCCCACGGGGTGCAGGTGGCTCCAAAGCAGCCGTGTGTGGTTTGCAGTGCTTCYCTCTGCTCCCACACAGTACAGAGGGATGGTGTGCAAACCCAAATGAGCTCCCTTTGCCCCTGCACATTCCTACAGACACCATGTGGAAGGACTGAGATCTTCCCTTACAATCAGGTTACACAGTACCAAGAAAACAGAGTAAACAGACTGAAGAKGTAGTTATATGACAATGGCCCAAAAACACTCATTGGGACACACAGGGGACCATCCCTAACTTGAGAAAGGGAAGTAGAGCATGTATTTGGGAGGATGGTYAGTGATAGCACAAGTTTCCCTGAAAAATAAATCTGGATTGTTACCCTTCTATATGGGCATTGCATTACAGCAAGAAACAATTCTAAGACCCACAACAACTCCCGATCAAAGCTTAGAGCCTTCTTTTGGCTTGTCATGGAAATCTAGAACACAGAAAGACTCCTCTGCACMTTGGCCTTTTGCAGATCATTTCTGCCACTGTGGACAACAACAGAATGCTGCTGGATATYGACAACAGCAAGATGACTGCTGAAGACTTCCGAATGAAGTGAGTACCTCTCTGTGATCCTAGCATGTCTGTCAAATCTCTCACATCATCTCAGAAGAAAAGGGAGGACTGTCCTGGGTGGTATTAMTGACTCATTCTGTTTTATTGGAATACTGATCTKGGAAGGATATGTGCTATTGACTGTCAGCATCTCATTTCCCCATTTCTCTCTCTCTGCATAACACAGGTATGAGAATGAGCTGGTCATCCGTCAGACCGTGGAGGCTGACATCAATGGCCTGMGAAATCTCATGGATGACCTGACTCTGGTTAGATCATCACTGGAATCCGAGCTGGAGTCCTTGAARGATGAGCTGATGTCTCTGAAGAGAAACCATGAGGAGGTACGATGCAATGATAAACAGCACAGCCTAACACATAATCCTTTGATTCTTCACAGTTCCCACCATCACACAGCAAGCCAATTCCAC